GGTGTTGATGACGATGAGGTTGGTGATGATGCTGATGCTGATGGTGTGGGTGGTGGTGATGGTGATGATGATGATGATGTTGTTGTTGATGATGATGGTGGTGCGGATGGTGATGATGTTGATGATGCCGCTCATGAGGATGTTGATGATGTTGATGCTGATGCGGATGATGATGATGATGCCGATGATGATGCGGAGGGTGATGCTGCTGATGATGACGACGATGATGCTGCAGATGCGGATGGTGCGGATGATGATGATGAGGCTGATGCTGCTGATGCTAATGTTGATGATGGTGTGAATGATGATGATGATGATGATGATGATGATGATGATGATGATGATGATGATGGTGATGAGGCTGATGGTGATGGTGTTGGTGTTGATGATGTTGTGAATGATGATGATGATGATGGTGATGATGATGATGATGATGATGATACTGTCGAGGAGGTTGAGGATCAGATCAGATCAGAGCCCATGGAGTCCTCTAGAGCACACGCTACTGAAGCTTTGAGACCCTAGAACTCTGGGGGGGTACTGCGCAGCCAACCGCTTAATTACTTCAGACTGGATGCGGCCACCCTCTGCACTGAGGCAGCACTGGGCCGTAGGCTGAGGAGGCCCCCCCCAGGCGCGCAGCTAGGAATCGGAGCTTTCATCACTCAGGCGCCAGGCTCCCCTTCCTCTCCACGACCGTACCCCTGCCCCGACTTCCGCCCCGACCATGTTTCTGGATGGTTGCTGCCTAGGCAGCAATGTGAATGGCGTGTTTGGCATGCCAGAAGCTCCGTAGCCCTGAACCTCACGCGTGCTTGAAACAGCTTTGTCACCAACTTCTGGTGGAATCGATCCTGGGTGAAGACTATTGGCAAGATGCCGCAACTTTATCCGCATAGAGCGTGTTTCTTCATTGCTTGGGGTACAGTGGTCATTATAGCCCCCAGCGCCCCCACCCCCTATAACGTAACGCCCCCCCCCACTGCGTTCGGGGCACTGCCGCTGTGCGAATCGGGATCCGCATAGGCGTCCGCATAGGAATCCGCATAGGGATCTGGTCCGCAGTCGTCGTCGTCGTCGTCGTCTTGGTCGTCGTCGTCGTCGTCATCGTCGTCGTCGTGCTCGTCGTCATTGTCGCTCGTCTTTCGTCGCTCGTCGCTCATCGTCGTCGTGCGTCGTGCGTGCGGACGCGGCTGAATTTTTTTTGTTGCTGTGTTTTTTGGGGGCCTTTTTTGTAATATGATACTGGGCCGATGACGGCCGTCATCTGGGGGGGAGGGGCCGATGACGTCACGTTTCGCGCCGGCGGCGTTTGGGCATGCCTAGAAATGATCAAGGACGGGTGGCAGTAGCATGTAGGTGGCGATTTGCACCACAGCGCCTGTGTACACCACGGAGCCTGCGTGCACCACAGCGCCTGCGTACACCACACTGCCTACGTACACCACAGCAGCCGCGTGCAACACAGTGCCAGTGTGTGCCACAGTGCCTGCAAACACCACAGCGCCTGCGTACACCACATCAGCCTTGCGCAACACGGCACTTGTGTACACCACAGTGCTTGCGTGCATTACAGCGCCTGTGTGCACCACGGCGCCTGCGTGCTCCGCAACAACCGTATGCAACAGAACACCACTGCTGCATGTAGAATGTGAGAAGGAATCCTTATTGCAAAATGGGCCGCCAGTGGCTTTCACAGAAAACGATGGTTTCATATAGGATTTGGAAAGGAATCCTTGTGGATAATGGAGCACCGCTGGAATCTACAAGTCCTCCCAGGTCCTCCCGCATTATCCAAACTCTTCCCATCTGTGTCGAGGAGGCTCCAGCTGAATTGGCTGTCCGAGAACCAAGTCGATTGATTCAATCGACCATTCTGCGGTTCACGCTGAGATGCGCACGTGCGCTGTAGCGCCGACCCGCGCGACAGGGGGGGAGGCTGAGCGAGGAGGAGGAGGAGGACGAGGAGGAGGAGGAGGAGGAGGAAGAGGAGGAGGAGGAGGAGGAGGAGGAGGAGGAACAGGAGGGGGAGGGGGAGGGGGAGGAGGAGGAGGAGGAGGAAAAAGAGGTGGAGGTGGAGGTGGAGGGGGGAGGAGGGAAACACGTCGCATTTCATTATCAGCCTTCCCTGGCGTGGTGTTCAGCTGTCCGTATCAGATCCTGACCTACATACTCGTTCTGCCTGTCCTGTGCGCGCAGGCGCTGTGGTGTACACCAGAGCTGCGTTGCACCCGGATGCTGTGGTGTAGACAGGCGCCGTGGTGTGCACAGACGCTGCTGTGCACGCGAGCACTATGGAGTACGCCGGCGCTGTGGTGCACGCAGGCATTGTGGTGTACGCAGGCGCTGCATTGCACACGGCTGTCGCGGTGTACGCAGGCGCTGTGGTGTACACGCGCGCATTGTGGTGCACGCGAGCATCGTGGTGTACACAAGCGTTGTGGGGCAGATTGTTATCTACATGCTGTTACTAGTTGGCCCGGGTCATCCCTAGGCATTTCTGGGCGCCGCGGGCGCGGAACGTGACGTCATCGAGAGGGGGGGCGGGGCCGATGATGGCCGATATCCCGGAAAATGAAAAAAAGGCTCCTGTGGTGCCGGAGCCGCACGGCGGGGGGGGGCGTTACGTTGTACCCCCCCGCGCCCCCACCCTTTTATACCGCCCATTATCGCCGAAAATAAAGAAACTCGCCCTACGCAGCTCTCAAGATAACGGGTTATCTCACCCGACGCGGGCTGCAAACACACCTCGACGATATCATGACCATCGCTACGACCGCATTCGCGACGGCGTCCTAAACAGGGCTGGATGAGTTGCGTAACGTGCAGCCGGAGGAAGAGTTGCTTAACGTGCAGCCCGTGGAAGAACTGCGTAGCAGGCAGCCGAAGTACGACACCAAGTGCCGCACCAAGACCGACATCAGGAAAAACACGACCGAGCAGCCCGGATGGGTTACTAGGTACGTCGTCGTGGTGGTGCTGGTGGGCAACGGCCGCGCCGCCTGCGACGAGTACGACGACGGCCGCGCCGCCTACGACGAGTGCCACTTCAACCGTGTTTTGGATAACGGCATGTTCTCCTACGACCCCCAGGATCACGACTGACCGCAGGCTTGCGGCAACCGCCACGACTACAGGGACACCCAGAGCGTGGGACACTGCGTCTTGGCAGCCGACGACTCCGACTCGGACCCTTGGAACTACGAAGAGAGCGTGCCCTCTGAACTGCTACTGCCTCCTGCAAATGCCACCAGACGACTTTAGGGACAACAAGCTGAACTGCGAGGGCCACACGTGCAGCTACGAGAACCACCTGAAGGGCTGCAGGTCTGACATGCCGAGCTACGAGACCCGCCAGCTGAGCCACGAGAGCCACAAGCTGAGCTACGAGGGCCGCGAGCTGAGCTACGAGAAGCAGGGCTACGAGAGCTACCGGCTGAACCGCGAGAGCTGCAAGCTGTGCTACGAGGACCACGAACTGAGCTACGAAAGTCACATCCAGAGTTTCGAAGGCCACAACCGGAGGTACTACAGTACCCACCTGCCGCGCTGCGAGAACCACCAGCCGAAACACGAGGGCACAAGCCGAGCGACGAGGACCGCAAGCTGAGCCACGAAAGCCACGAGCAGGATTGCAATAATTACCAGCAGAGCCACGAGGGCCGCATGTTGTGTTAAGTACGAGGGCCACCAGCTGAGCCACGAGGACCACCATCTGAGCCACCGAAGGCGCCAGCTGTGCTACGAGGGCCACCGGCACAGCCACGAGGGCTACGAGGGCCACCTGCTGAGCTTCCACGGCCACAACCAGAGCCACGCGGACTACAGGAACAATTACAAGAGCCTCCTGCAGAACCATTTAGGGCGACGGGCCGCAATGCCCAGAAGCAGAACTCCGAGCGCCACCAGTTCAGCAACAAGGGCAATTTGCGGAGCTCCGAGGGCCGCTACCTGAGCTACGCGGGCCAGAACAGCGAAAGCCTTCCGCGGAGCTACCAGGGCGACGAGCTGACTTGAAAGGACTACGTGTTGGGCAAGGACAGCCACCAGCTGAGCTGCGAGGGCCACGTGCTGAGCTACTGGACCCACGCGCTGAGCTACCAGGGCCACAGGAATGGGCTTCGAACGCCACAGGCAGGGCTCCGAGGACCGCCAGCTGAATTACAAGCGCTGCGCGGGCCACGCGCTGAGCTACAAGGGCCACAGCCAGAGCCACGCGGGCTACAGGAAGAACTAGAAGAGCCTTCTGCATACTTGTTCACGCTTCTCGTATTCCCACCAGCCCATCCAGAAACAGGAGAGCTGACGGGAGAAGGGAGGAAGAGACGCACGTAGTGAAACAGCGTGGGCAACAACGGTGAACTGGGAGATCTCTTGTAGCGAATGGTACGGGTGGTGCTGTTGGTGTTGTTGCTGCTGCTGCCGGTGGTGGTGGTGCTGCTGCTGCTGCTGCTGGTGTTGCTGGTGGTGTTGTTGGTTCTCGCGCTGTTGGTGCTGATGCTGGTGCTGCTGCTGGTGCCGTTGTTTCTCTTTGTAGTGGTGGCGTTGTTGCTGCTGGTGTTTGTTTTTTGAGGCCTCCTGGAGCGTTTGGGTGGCTTTTTGGGTGCTTCGGGGACCCTCTTGAGGCCTCTGGGGGGTCTCTTGGAGGCCTCTTGGAAGCGTTTTGGGCGGCTCTTGGGGCCGTCTGGGTGCCTCTTGGAGCGCTCTTGGGGGGCTTTAAGGGGCGCTCTCGGGGCCATCTTGGAGGAGATCAATCAAAGAAGGGGGTTCCCTAATCACGCCCCCCCCTCGGGAGCTCCCAGAATAGCCTCCTGGACCACTCTTGGGGCGCTCTTGGAGCGCTCTTGGGCGCTTTGGGGGCCGTTTTGGGGCTCTCTTGGGCCCCTCTTGGGGCCCTTGTGGGCCATCTTGGAGCCATCTTGACGCTTCGGATGGCTGTCGGAAGCGAAAAGGCGAGAAGGTAACAATCATTGGTTTCCCGTAGGTTTTTGGAAGGATTCTGGTTTCTTGGAGGCCTTCTTGGAGGTCTCGGGTGCCTCTTGGAGCCGTCTTGGGGCGGTATTGGAGCCGTTTAGAGCATCTTGGAAGCCATCTTGACGCATCTTGCGCTATCTAGAACCATCTTGGAGTTCATCTTGGGCTCTGTGAGCCCCCCTTGGAGCCGTCTTGGGCCATTTTGGAAGCTCTGACCGCTCGCGAAACCCCCTGTCCAGGTCCAGGGGAGGGGGTAAGGGGGGAGAGGGGGGTTGGAAGAGGAAACTTCCGAGACCACCTACGCCCAGAGGGCTGGTGGGATTACTGTGAAGGCCTGACGGCCGGCGCCGCCGACCATGATAGACATCGACGACGACCAGGAGGGGGAGGAGGAGGAGGAGGAGGAGGAGGAGGAGGAGGAGGCGGAACTGAGGAGGAGGAAGAGAAGGAGGAGGAAAAGGACTCCCCCCAGGCACCCCCCACCACTGGGGAGGAGGACCAGAGAAGGACCAGCGTGGGAGAGAGGAGGGGGGGGTAGGAGGACCCCCAGGGACGGATGCGTATTTGACTCCCTCCCCCCCCCCTGGGACTACTTCCCACCTGGGGAGGAGGACCCGAGGAGGACCGGCGCGCCGTAGCAGGACCAGCGTGGGAAAGGAGGGCCCCCAGAGGCGACGCGAATTTGACCCCCCCCCTCGCCCCGGGACCCCCACCCCCCACGCCGCGGAAGGGACAAAAAGAAGGGGCTTCCCTTTGACGTAATGAGGACGCGGATGGAGTTCCCTCAAGCTGCGAACCCGTTCCCCGAACGAGGAAGGGTGCTTTCTCTCTCTCTCTCTCTCTCGCTCTCTCTCCCCCGACGGGAGAGGAGGATGGGAAAAAGGGACGAAAAAAGACTCCCCGTCGACGGGACCGGACAGACACCCCACGCACGCCGACAGGGTCGGCGGATTAGGGCGACGAGCCGAACTGCAAGGCCCGGAACCAGAATTCCGAATTCCGAAGGTGGCCCACAAGGGCCGCCTGCGGAGCTACGAGGGCCACAGCGAGAGACGCCGGCAGAGCCACGAGGACTGCGAGCGGAGCTACGACGACCACAGGCACAGCTGCGAGACCTACGATGGCCACCTGCTGAATTGCGGGGGCCACGACCAGAGCTACGCGGACTACAGGAAGACCTGCCAGAGCCTCCTGCGTGGCGACAGGGGCGACGAGCTGAACTGCAAGGGCGTCAGGCAGATTTCCGAAACCCACCATCCGAATTTCGAGGGCTTGAACCGGAGTTTCGATGGCTACAAACTTGAGCTACGTGGACCACATGCAGATCTACGAGAGCGTCCCGCAAAGCTACCAGTGCGACGCGCTGTGCCACCTGCTGAACAAGGATCAGTGCCGCATTGAAGGAGTCCGGACTCCACCATCATACCTGTTTTAGTTTTCTAGGGAAATTCGTCAACAAATCCGCCGAAAATTGGGTGCGCAAATCCGAAGTAAACAAAACGCCCATTTTTGTTAACGAGTCGTCGATGATGCTTTCGGGCGCTCCCATCAGCGCATCTGGCAGTGATTCTTCGGCGGAGTGGTCAGTCTCAGTTTTTTGGGGCTGCCGGCCGCGCTCATTCCGCATGATGTCCCGGCGGACAGTTCGGTGCAAATTGACTTACATTGATGGTTCCAGGCTGCAGCCAACGGTCCATGGCACGAGTCTTTTGCGTGATTTTCAATAGGGAGGTTCGGAACTTTGCTAGCCCCATTGGACAGGGGTGACCGACTTACTCATATCAGTTTGTTTCTGTTTGCATGTCCGATTGCCCCGCGCGACGGGCCACGACATGTTCATCGCGGGCGCGCGCTCGCGTTGCCCCTGTTGTTGCGCCTTTGGGAAGGGAGGTAGGGATGCATCGGTATGGAATGGGAGGCGGAACAGTTTTCGCAGGTGTGGGCTTGGTTTCCCGAGGCGAAGGTGTCCAGTACCCTTTGAGCTAAAGATGTCACGCATCTGTGCCCTGTTTTGCAGAAGCCCGCTCTTGCGGGCAACTTGGTCAGCATTGCGTCTTTGCGCTGTGCACACCCCCGGCGGTGATCTCGCGTGGGATTGTTTCGCGGACATCCGAGTTCTGAGTCCCGAGTCTTCCCTCCTCCCCTCCTGGCCCGCCCCTGCCGTCACCCTCCCCCCTCCTCTCCTTTCCCCTCCCGTGCTTCTTTTCCGTTGCTTCCACTGCTTTCTCCCTTTTCCCCCTCCTCTTCTTTCCCCCTCGGTCCCCTTGCCTCCCTCCCCCTCCTCGCTCTTCCTCCCCTCCCTGGCCCTTCTCCGCCCCCGCCCTGCCCCCGGTTCGGCCGCGCGCAGGTGGACCTCTCCAGTGGGGCCGCCCCTGGCGGGGACAGGAGCGCCCCGGGGGGCCAGGGGCGGATCGGGTCAGCGCTCTCGCGGGTCCACGCGCGGCGGGGTCTGTGGGATGGAAGGGGAGGGATGATGGTGGTGATGATGGTGATGGTAATGCTGATGATGGTGGTCATGATGATGATTGTGATACTTAGGATGATGATGACGATGATTATAGTGTTGGTGATGTTGATCATGATGATGATGATGATGATGATGATGATGATGATGTTGGTGATGGTCATGATGGTCATGGTGAGTGTAATGGTGGTGTGCTGATGGTGATGGTGATGGTGATGGTGATGGTGATGGTGATGGTGATGATGGTGATGATGATGATGATGATGATGATGGTGGTGGTGGTGGTGGTGATGATTGTGATGATGGTGTTTGTGGTAAGGATGGTAACGATGATGCTGCTGATGGCGATGTTCGTGGTGGCGATTGTGATAATGAGGATGAGGATGAGGACGAGGGCCAGGATGAGTGCGAGGATAAGGGTGAGGGTGTGGAATGTGCTGAGGGTGGGGATGAAGATAGGGATGAGGACAATGATCAGGATTGGTAACAAGACGGCGACGACGATGATGCTGATGCTGATGCTGATGCTGGTGCTGGTGCTGCTGATGCTGATTACGATGACGATGTTGATGCTGATGATGATTATGATGGCGATGACGGCGATTGTGATGATGATGATGACGATGATGATGATGATGATGATGATGATGATGATTATGATGATGCTGATGATGATGATTATCATTATAAGATTGATGGGGATTCCGATGCTGATGAGGACGAGGATGAGGACGAGGATGGCTATGGTGATGGTGATGGTGGTTGTGACGATGCTGCTGGTGCTGATGCTGATGCTGCTGATGATGATGATGATGGTGATGAGGATGAATGATGATGGTGATGATGATGATGCTGATGATGCTGATGATCATGATGTCGATGCTGATGCTGATGCTGATGCTGATGCTGATGATGATGATGATGATGATGATGATGATGATGATGATGATGATGATGATGATGATGATGATGATGATGATGATGATGATGATGATGGTGGTGGTGGTGGTGGTGGTGGTGGTGATTGTGACAATGACGATGAGGATGATGATGATGAGGAGGAGGAGGAGGAGGAGGACGATGATGGGAACACAGTATAGACATGAGTCGTCGGAGGTTCGCGCAGGTTTCTTGGACCGGCGCTGGGTACCCCCGGCGGCGCCTCCAGCGCTGCCCCCTGGCGCGCGCGCTCCGCTCCCTGGCGCGCGGAGCGCGCCAAGGGGCGTCTGGCCCGTGCGTCGCCTCAGTGCCTTTCAAACTTCAGAGGCCCTTCGACGCGGTGCACCCCGCCTCCTCCTCCTCCTCCTCCTCTTCTGCCTCCTCCTCCTCCTTCTCCTCCTCCTCTCCTCCTCCTCCTCCTCCTCTGCCTCCTCCTCCTCCTTCTCTTCCTCCTCCTCCTCCTCCTCCTCCTCCTCCTCTGCCTCCTCCTCCTTCTCCTCCTCCTCCTCCTTCTCCTCCCCCTCTGGGGGGGCCCTTGACCCAGCGGTCGACTCAAAGGTGCTGCTGCTGCCCGGCACGCGCACGGCCGCCCGGCGGCGCGATTCGAAGGGCAGGGGGCGCCCCAGCCTGTATCGCAGTGCCCTTCGACCCGTCGGAGCTCACAGAGCTCCACCGCACCTGCTTAGGTAGACGACGAGCGCCTCTCTCGTGGAGTCGGAGAGTGTTTCCCTGGAGAGAGGCCACGTGCTGGAGATGGAGTATCACCGAACGCGTGTCACCACACGCAAAGTGCCTACTCGCAAACGTCCAACCAACCTTGTTCGATGCAATGGAGCTTGTTTGCCTCGATGCAATGGATCCAGGCCATTTGCGAGTAGCGGCTTTGCGAGTAGTGGAACGCGCTTGTCTAGAGTAGGCTGGTCGGACCGTTCATCGGGACAGCGCCACTCGACCAGACTTTCCAGATGTATTGCTTGAGGCGGGTCCTGATGCCGGAGACCGCGGCTCGGAGCAACGAGCGTTGGCACTGGAACGTCTTCAATCGGCGCGGATAGGCCTCGGGCCGCCGCGACATGATCAGCGTCATCCACCCGGGAGTTGTTTTTGTTCAGACGCTCGGTTGCGAAGGCGGTTGAGGTGGGCGAGTTTGTCATCCAGTACAGAGAGCGTGAGGAGTGCCGAGCAGGCCCGGCGGTGGCTGGCTCAGCTGCCTCATGCGTTGAGGCCGCACTCAGCTGCAGCAGTCGGAGCCAAAGTGCAGCAGCTGAAGCCAATCCACATCCTTCCATTTTCTCCCATATCCACGGCTGGGCCCACGCGTCTCGGAGCGTCGTTTGATTGGAATATGTTGCTCGACTTTTCCTCTCCAGTCAGCGCCGGCCTCCCCGCGACTCGAGTTATCGCTCCGCACGCCTTCCTCCACCCTCTTTCTCCCTCTGACCTTTCCCACGCGCGAGCCTTTGGCGGACTGCAGGGCGAGAACTTGAAGTTATCTATCCATCCCCACCCCCTCCCCTCCCCTCAGTCCGCCTGCCCCTCGAAGACACATCTAGCTCCAGCTCTGGCGCGCTACCCTGAGGCAGAGGTTCCAGAACCTGGAGTCCAGGGTGGGACGTTCTGGACCTGAAGTTGCGGGCACGTTTAGCCAAGATCCGGTGCCTTCGTTCACGGCTGAGGCCCTGGCATCAGAAGAGGCAGCGCTTGCAAGTCAACGTATGGTTAGCAGTTGACCTATGCTTTCTGCGAAGGAAGGGAGTTCCGAATACCTGGTCCCTTGGATCCCTGCGAGGGCTTCAGCAGGTGGATGCCGTGTTGAGCAGGGGCCCTCGGGCCTGGTTGCGCAAGTGGGATGCGGGACCCAAGAGTTTCGGAAGCAGCTGATTCGACTGCCCATTATCGCCGCCAGCAACGCCGTCGTTGATTCCGGAAATGGCCGAGGGGTTTTGCGTGGAACTCATTTCGGGGGCGGCAAAGAGGGGGGTGACGACTAGGGGGGGGGGATATCATGGCGTGGGCCACGATCTTTCGCCAGATCTCATGGCGCCTCTTCTTTTTTCATTACAACTCCGGCCCCCCCGTGGGCCGCGCACATGCCGCCGGCCATGATTTGCACCCCCCCTTTTTGGACGCCCCCCTATTGGCCGCCCTCGATGGTTGTGGCTGCTTGAGATACAGCTTGCCAACCTTGGCCGCTGGGCCACTTGCTGGCCTGAACGACGGCCTGCAGATCGCGCAGCTTGCCCTCCCGCGCGCAGAGCTTGGCCGCAGACCAGCAGATGCCGTCGGTTGCCACCACATCGCGAGAGCGTTGAGGCTGCGACCCTTCCGCAGCCGCACGGCTCGCGCCTTAGGGGGGGCCAACCGCCGCAGCTGCCACCTTGAGCCTCTCCGCGATCTCGCGCTCGCCGAGGCCCGCCCCCTGGGGCCGTCGACCGTCCAGGCCATCTGCCCCGCGGCCCTCGTGCGCGCCTCCTAGATGAGCTCGTCCGAGTCCTTCGGGCCGCCACCGGGGATGCCGCCTGCACCGGTGGCCTGGGCGGCGGCGGCAGGGCCAGCGGCGGTTGCCACTGACGTGCTGGAAGCGGCCGCGGCTGGCGCCTGGCCAGGTTGAGCGTGTTTCTTTATCGCTTGGGGCATGATGGGTATGATTGCCCCCTCCCCCCCCCCTTTAACGTAACGCTCCTCCCCCCCAGTGCGCTGCGGGCACTGCCACCGTGCGCATCGGGCACACGGCGGGGGGAGGCGTTGTATTATACCCTCTCCAGCCCCCTCCCACACCCCCCCGTATAATGCCCGTTATCGCCGAAAATAAAGAAACGCGCTCGTGGAGGGTGTCCTGGCAGTGGTTCAAAGATGGGGTCCGGAGGGATGGGGTCCTGAGGACAGGGAGGGATCCAACGGTCGATGTACATTGTTTGAGGCATCTCGTCCTCAGGACCCCATCCATCAGGACCCCATCCCCCAGGACCCCACCTTTGAACCACCGATCCTGGCGGTGCCAATCCTCATTGCCCACCGCCTGCGGGCTTGGCGATGGCGGGGGCCGCCCCGGCGGATGCCCTGGCCTGCCCCGTGATGGCGGGGTCCGCCACCCCGCGGGCTGCGGGCTGCGGCTGCCGGATGCCGTCCATCACCGTCGTCCTCCCCCACCGCCAGCTTCTGGTCCAGCTCGGGCGGGGGCTGCGGAGCGCCTGGATGCGAGACGCGATGAGCGCCTTGAGCGCCTCCGCCACGGTGCCCTAGTGCGCCGCGGAGGAGGCCGCGGCCTGCGTGGCCAGCTGCAGTTGCGCGGCCGCTGGATGTCCGCGCTGATTTCCTTGCTCTGTAAGAGCCCTGCCGTGCTTCTCCGCCACCGCCGCCATCTGCGCGCCGATCTGGCCGAGGGTGGGCTTCGCGTTGCCCAGCTTACTTGGCTGCTGCGCCAGCCTGTCCTTGATGATCTGGGCTTGCTGGTATGGCGACTGGTCCGCCAACGCTGCTTGCATGACCTGCGTGAGGCTCTCGGCGGCGTTCTTGTATACTGCTTGCTGGAGTCGCGTGCCCACTGCGTCCACGGAGCGGTTTTGGGTTTGGGCGAGCTCGATGGATGACGGCTTCGCATCATCATCGGCTGTAGCAGCAGAGCTTGACTCCCCTGACTGTTCACTACCCACCAAGCCACCCCAGCCCAACCCGAAGGCCTCAATTTTCCCTCCATTTCCAGTGTGTGGGGTGGGGAGTCGGGGAACATCTGAAATAACGCATGGAACCCGTACCCCCCCCAACCCGAAATTTGGGTCGAGTTCGGGTCTTCGGGTTGGGTTGGGGTGGTCTGGTAGGTAGCCACTTGTTGCTCCTCACCGTCGCGACCTCGAGACGTCCCGCGGCATCACCGCCCGTGGCCCGGGCCCGTTGCCAGAGTGGGCGGCCCCGCGCCTCCTCGCCGCACCCTCTGGCCCGCGGGCTTCGAGCCTTCGCTGGGTTGCAGCGGGGAGCGCAGGGGTCGCGGTGGGTCAGAGTGCTGCAGCCCGTGCCGTGGGCAAGCTCTGGCAGGGCTGGCCGCGAGGGAGCATCGAAGCGCCAGCTCCGTCGGACGGCGCCATCAAAGTGCCATCGCAGCCGCGAGAGAGCCATCAGAGTGCCATCTCAGGCCCCTGACGGCGACGACGACGCTGACGCTGACGACGACGACGACGACGACGACGACGACGACGACGACGACGACGACGACGACGACGACAGCGGCGGCGGCGGCGGCGGCGGCGGCCGCGGCGGCTGACTTGGAGGGCGAGGAGGACGAGGAGGACAGGAGTAGATGAGCAGGAGGAGGAGGAGGAGGAGGAGGAGGAGGAGGAGGACGAGAAGGAGGAGGAGGAGGAGGAGGAGGAGGAGGCGGAACAGGACGAGGACGAAGGGAGGAGGGAGAGGAGGAGGATGAGGACGAAGGGAGGAGGTGGAGGAGGAGGGGGACAAGGATGGCGAGGATGACGAGGATCAGGACGAGGACGAGGGCGTGGACGAAGGAAGAGGAGGAGAAGGAGGAGGAGAAGGAGGAGGTAGAACGAGGACGAAGGGAAGAGGACGAGGATGAAGAGGACGACGAAGAGGAGGATGAGGAGGAGGAGGAGGACGAGGACGAAGACGAGGACGAAAAAAGAGGAGGAGGAGGAGGCAGAGGAGTAGGACGAGGACAAAGGGAGGAGGGAGAAGGAGGAGGAGGAGGGGGAGGAGGACGACGACGAATGAGGAGGAGGAGGAAGACGAATGAGGAGGAGGAGGTTGAGGAAAAGGATGGGGGAGGAGGAGAAGGAGGAGGAGGAGGACTACGAGCAGGAAGAGGAGGAGCAGGAATAGGAGCAGAAGGAGGCGGAGATGCAGGAGGACGTGGAGGGAGGCGAAGGATGGGGGGCCCCTCCTGGCACCCGCCCGCCGCCCAGCGGCCGCTCGCCGGGCGACTGCACGGTGCAGGCGGGGCCGCCTCCGCCACCGCCGTCGCCGCCGCCCCCCGCTGCCAGCGCCGCCGCCGCCGTCGCCGTGGTCGTCGTTATCGTCGCCGTCGTCGGCGCGGTCGGCGTCGCAGCCGCCGTCGCCGTCGCCGCCGCCGCCGTCGTCGTCGTCGTCGTCGTCGTCGTCGTTGCCGCCGCCGCCGTCGTCGTCGTCGCCGTCGTCGTCGTCGTCGTCGTCGTCGTCGGCGGCGGCGTCACGGTCGTCGTCGTTGTCGTCGTCGTCGTCGTCGTCGTCGTCGTCGTCGTCGCTGATCTCGTTGTCGCCGCCAGAGCCTCCGTCGTCGTCGCTGTCGGTTTGTCGTCGTCTTCACTTTCGCTGTCGTCGATGGCGCCGTTGCCGCCGTCGTCGTCGTCGTCGTCGTCGTCGTCGTCGTCGTCGTCGTCGCTGTGGTCGTCGTCGCTGACGCTGTCGTCGTCGTTCGAGGATCGATGATGAGCCTTGAGGAGTCTCCCTTCTCACTCCCTTGTCCCGCCTCCCTTCTCCTCTCACTCCTACGTCCTCGTCCGTCCGCCATCGTTCTCCCTTCACACTCTTCCCTCCTCATTCCTCCCTCCTACTCCCTCCCTCCCCCTGTTTCTTCTTCCGCCTCCTCGGCGGAGGAGAAGTTCCCTCACAGGCCCCTACTAGGGTTCATTGTCACCAAAGTTGTGCCCTGTTGGAAGGCAACCGTTTGGAAATCCTGAACTGTGCCAGAACACCATTATTTGGATTTCAATGCCGTGAATCACCGTTGCTGGTGCGTCTTGACGGTCCTGAATCGTGCCAGAACACCGTTCCCAACACCACATATCAAAGTTCTTGTTGCGTCTTGACGATCCTCAGTCTTGCCAGAACACAATTCCTGGGATGCTGAACTGTTTCAGCGAATGTTCGCGGCGCTAAGGCGAGAGCCACATGTTGAACAAGGAACCGCCCTCCATCCGCAAAACTGTTGCCAGTTTTTAAGACGAATGTGCGCTGCGCTGAGGCGAGAGCCACCTTTTGAAAACGGCCAGCCCTCCATCCGTGAAGCACCTGCAATTTTCAAGACGAATGTGCGCGGTGCTGAGGCGAGAGCCAGAATTTGAAAATGACCCGCCCACCATCCATGAAACTCTTGCGTTTTTTGAGACGGATGTGCGCGGTGCGAAGGCGAGACCCACATTTTGAAGTCGGTCCGCCCTCCATCCATGAAGCTGTTGCAGATTGGTAAAAGCTACAGGATCGTAAACGGTGAGGAAGTCCCAGGCGAAACGCCCGAGTCGCCCTTCCGACTGGCCCCGGGGGTGCGACAGGGAGGAGTCAGTTGTACCGTCGGGGCGTTGACATAAGGAACCCTAAATAAGGAGCGAGGCCTCTTTTTCCCATGAGCTAAACTTCGATTTCCCATGGAAAACCTCAAGACAACTTGAGGCAAGCTGTGAAACAATCAAGGAACACGGAGCCCCTTCCCAACGCGAAGGGTTCCTTCTTCAGCGCCCCAACCGTAAGGCAAAGGAATGGGGGAGGAGGGAAGCGGAGGGGTGACTCTGCAGGAGAAGGAGGTCGAGGACGGGAGGGCGACGACGACGGCGCGACCAGTGGCGGCGACGCGACTCCGGACCGCGAGGCCCGGCTGCTGCTGCCCATGGGCTCCAGGGACGCGGAGGCCGTGGCGTCGGACGTGCGAGGCGCGCGCGAGCTTGTGCCGGAAGCTAGACGACTTGCAGCGACGGTGCTCGGGTTGGTGGTAATCATGGGGGGTGACCCATTTGGGGTGTGAAGAAAAGGGTCCTACACGGGGCCCTTTAGAGCCCCTTTCGGGCACCAGCTGGCTCCAGAAGGGGCCCTAGAGGGCCCCTTTGGTAGCCCTTTTCTTCACCGCCCGTTGGGGTCACCCCCATTACCACCCGCCCGAGGTGCGTCGAGCTTGCAGACGAGAGCCAGCATTATGATGTTCCAACCTACTTTAGCCTAGATCACCAGAAAGAATTTCGAACCCCAAGAAAGTATCGACAGTGGACGGTTTTCACGCGTCGGGCCCCGCCCGGGGGGGCGATACTCGCTGAGAACCCCGCCAGCGCGTCGGGCAGACACTGTTTCGATACCTTTCGGGTGCTCGAAACCATTTTTGGGGGATGTGGCCCTGAAGTACGATGGGAACATATATCAAGCCAGTGGAGCAGATCGGGAGCGAGCGCGGGGGACGGCATCCGGCAAGGAGCCGGCGAGGAGGTCTCCAGCCAGAGGGGCCCACGCAGGCAGAGGCCCGCAGGAGAGGAGGCCCCCTGTGGGGGACGAGCCCCCCCCCTGGGGCCCCAGGAGGGCCCTCGTCGTCCTTGTCTTCGTCCTCCTCGTCGTCGTCGCCGTCGCCGTCGTCGCCCCTTCCTTGTCCTTCTCGTCGTCGTCGTCGTCGTCGTCGTCGTCGTCGTCGTCGTCGTCGTCCACCTCCTTGTCGCCGTCGCCGTTGGCTTGCTTGTCGTCGTCCAGGAGAGGAGGCCCTCTGCGGGAGCAGGAGCCTCCCCCGAGAGGGCCCCGCCTCGTGGCGCTGCGAGGGAAGAAACCGCGGCGCGCTGTGCTTCTGCTGCCGTTTTCTGTACGGCTTCCAGGGGCACTCCCCGGGCCTCGGGGCCGTTTTTTTTGTGCTGTTTTTGGGGTCTCCCATGTGTTCTGACTCCGGCTAGGCTTTGCGTGGCCGGATTCTTCCACACCTTTAAGTACTTTCTCGGCCTCCGGCCGAGGGCGGCAAGGCATCGTGAAGCCTGTCAGCCACATCATCCTCTTCTTTAGCAGCCCAGGCGGAAATCACTGGGCCCAAGGAGGCGGGGAGGGGTTCCAGATCCGGGACGCCGGAGACGGGGGCACGGGCCCCTGTTCAGGGGGCCCTTGGGGCTCCGCAGACGGGGGCGCAGGACACGAGGGCGTATGTCAGTATCGTTTGAGCGACCCCCACCCCCATCCTCATCCCCTTCGAGACCCGCACCAAATGACCACCCCAGTTGGGGATGCACCCCTCGAAACCCGAAGGCAACGGCCTGTATCCCCATCGAGGGGGGTAAGTCGGCCAGTAGAGTGTCGGATGAACGATGCTCAGTATGGAAGAGCCTACGCCCTACGTTCGGCTGTGCCCCCGTGCAGGGCGCCCCGACAGACCTCTGGGGAACCCCGCAGGCCACGGAGGCCACGAGCGGCGGGGTGCCCCCGTGGTGCGCCGGCGGTGCGGGCCCGCCGCGGGCGCAGCGGTGGCGCAGCCGCTGTGCGCGCTGCGCTGGGCAGAGGTGCGACCGTTGGTCACAGCGTCTCAGTCGCATGACACCCCCAAGCGTGAAGCAAACGCTCCCAACGATTTCTTGTTTGCGACATCGCGCGGGCGCCGATCGAGCACGAAGGCGAGAAGGGCCGCATCTTGAAACTCAGCAGCTCTTCGTTATATCGTGGGTGCCCGAATGCAGACACGCGGGCAACGCGTCGCGACCTGTGCATCAAGTTGTAACGCTGCGGTCTCAGCGTTTCGGGAGACGTTTCACGGCGACGTGGGCAACAACGATGTCGGTTTCGGCACGGTATGCGAGGTTGGTTCGTGGCCAGACCAACCGCAGGAAAACGTGGTGCGTGGCGGCCTGCACATCACCGTTGCGCTTCTGCTCCATACGTTCGCGTATATGAGATGTCGGCAAGCGTGGCTTGTGATTATTCACTACTCTTTGTTCTGCGCGAGCTTGGCGGTGTCGCAAAACCAGGTTCTCAACCTCACCCTCACAGTGGAGGCCCATGCCCCGAAGCACCCTGCTTGCCTCCAGGGTGCACTGGGTTTCTGCGGTTTCGATGGCTTGGCGATGGAAAGCGTGCCGTTCCCACACCAAAAAAAAACAATGGACGTCCTGGGGTCTCACGGTTGGGTTTCTCGTGGAATGTTTCTTGTGGACTGGCATCCGCAGTGCCCAACATCGCCGTTAGCGTGGCCTTGGAGCTCGCCAGTTCCGGCCAGGTTTGGGGCCCGCTGGGAGGCCCAGCGTTCTCGGGGTCTCCATTCCCGCAATTTGGGAGCACATTGCCGACGTCGAGCGGGGGGGGGAAGTGAAAAGGAAAAGGCCTTTTCAGAAGGTACGGTCGGAAGTCCCCCGGCCTTCTGCTGAGAATTGTTCTAAACCTTCCCCGAAGACAATAACAATTTCTCAGAAGGCGCGAGGGTTTCTGAGAAGTCCCGCCGCCTTCTGAGAAGGCCTCCTCACTTCCGTCCCCTCACGCGCCGCCGACACGTCGCCGACGTCGAGCAGCGTGTCGTTCCGCCGGTTCGGGCCCACCACGCTTCGGCGCGACACGCTACGGTTGGACCGAGGAACAGGATCGAGGTCGGTTCGGGGAGGGCACCCTATAATGTTTTGCGTGCTCGATGGATGTTCTTGTACATCCTGGGGGAGGGTATCCTCGGTGATATAATGGTGTGCGGCGTTTCGGCCAGCCGGCGGAAGGTCTCATGTTCTTGAAGGATGTTCTTTTGTCTTGGGCCTGAACTTATCCATGTCCTCATTCCCCACGCGTCAACGTCCCGAGCCTCGCCCGACCTCCCGCCTCGCAGGGCGTAGCGACACGCTATCTGCTCGCGAGGCCTAGCGTGTCGCCGGGGCCGCCGCCGCGACCCGCCATCCAGAAGTTGCCGACCGCAGGCCCGCGCGCACACGCTTCTAGTAATGAGTCGCAGCGGTGGCGCTCGTGCACCGCGTCCGCGGTCTGTAGGCAGGGGCGCGGCAACGGCGAAGTGTGCGCCTTGGGCGGAGGAGGAGGAGGAGGCGGAGGCGGAGGAGGAGGAGGAGGAGGCGGAGGCGGAGGAGGAGGAGGAGGAGGAGGAGGGAGGAGGAGGAGGAGGAGGAGGAGGAGGAGGAGGAGAGGAGGAGAGAGGAGGAGGAGGAGGAGGAGGAGGAGGAGGAGGAGGAGGAGCGGAGGAGGAGGCGGAGGAGGAAGCGGAGGAGGACGAGGCGGAGGAGGCGGAGGAGGAGGAGGAGGAGCGGAGGAGGAGGCGGAGGAGGAGGGAGGAGGAGGCAGAGGCGGAGGAGGAGGCGGAGGAGGAGGAGGCGGAGGAGGAGGCGGAGGAGGCGGAGTAGGGGAAGGACGGGCGACACCGTCGGCCCCTGCAGGACCGCGTCCGCCGTGCGGGCGGCCTCGGGCTCCGGGTCCGCGGGGGGAGGTGCAGCAGAGACGTTGAGGCATGGCGCAGGGTGGGCTCGCCGGGTCGTGGCGCATGGTCGTTCCTCGGGCGCTCCTCGTGCACCTGGGCGCCCTTGGGGCCAGGAAGGGGCTTCGCTCTGTCCCTCTCTCCTCCTCCTCCTCCTCCTCCTCGTCCTCCTCCTCCTCGTCCTCCTCCTCCTCCTCCTCCTCTTCCTCCTCCTCCTCCTCCTCCTCCTCCTCCTGGACCCAGCCTGAGCGCGAACGAGTTCGTCCGCGCCACTTGCCACTTACGCCACCGCATGGCCGTAGCCAAAGGCGAGTGGCGCCTCCCGAACAGCACGACCCATCAGATGGGTTGCACCACCCCAGCCCTGATGACCGAGGCGGTGCGCAAGGGCTCGACCAGGTACCGCCAGACACGGTTGACCTGGAACCTGGCAGGTGAACGTGTGGGTGCAGGAGGGCCTCGGCAGCCCTGCGACAGGTTAGCAGAGATCTTCGTTCCCCCCAGCTCACACACAACACACAGTACACCACAGCCTCCGCACCTCGTCCCCTGCAACGGCGAAAGGATTCATCACGTGCGCTCTTTCATCGGCGAGCTGCACACGAACAGAGGCCAGGTCGGCTCGAGACGGACTGCGCGGCGCGACAGGCAACGGCGGCTCCTCAACCAATCCAGGCACAGAAAGACTCGTTCTGCCGTTGCCACGCGCACCGCGTTGCTTCTGCGAAACATGCTCGCAATCAATGTCACACATTCGCGGGCCTATGCGGGCGACCCAGCGAGCCCACCTAGAGAGGACCAGCGCCTTGGCCTTGCGGGCCTCTCGGAGCTCAGAGGGAACGCGGGCTCTAGAGGCCATCCACTGAGCCCAGTCATCTGCATGTGCGTTAACTTCTTTCTCAAAGCGCGAAGACAGACCAGACTGGATACGGGCTTCGGAGCAATGCCCTTTGACTTTGCGGATGGCAGTGTTATCAGCTCCACCCCAGTCAGCGACGCACTGCCACACCTGGACCCACAGCTCTGACCAGGCGGCGCGCGATGAGCACCAATTCACCTGGCCTCGCAGGCGGACACCGTCGTGCACAAAGGCGGAGTCCGTGTAAAAGACACTGCCAGGCAAACTGTGCTGCAGCGCACGGTAAAAAGCAATCAGTTCTGCGTAATCGATGTCTTGACACACTTGAGACAGAGTGCCGCACATCACGGACTTGACTCGAAGCGGATACACTGGCTGCACATTGACCATAGCCCATCCATCCGCTTGTGCATGCGACGGCAGATGCTGATCCATCCAGCCTCCAGCTAGAAAGATGTGCCCCGACATCTCAGTGGGGCCCCCACTTCTCCCTGCGATTAGCAATATGAGTTTGGCCTCGCCTTGGCAGTTGAAACCCTGGACTTTCGGTTTTACCTTTGGAGGGCCCTCCTGGTTACCTCTTCCCGTTGGACCTGGGAACAAGCTGCTGGGCACTACTTGGGTGCTGGGGTCCTTAGGAGGGTGTTGATTTCTCCGTGCCGAGGCGATTGTTGAAGCAGTTTGGACGGAACCTCGATTATGGATCCCAGGCCATCCTTCGTAACACTCTCGCGGGGGGGGTCTGGACGGAGACTCGCCTGTTTGAGGCTGGGTACGCCGCCTGCTCGTTGTGTCCCAGGTGCGGACTTCAGCAAGAGACGCCCGTGTACCGATTCTGGCAGTGCACTGCCAACCACGCCCTGGACGATGCTGCTGTCCAGGCCACAGAGTCTCGGACCCGACTGCGATCGCGGAGAACTCCTCGCTCTGCTCCTTGTGGTGTCGAGGGCTGATGTCCCTTGACCAGGTCGTGAACGGCCTCCCCGCTCCTCTCTCTTCGGCCTGGGCCTTTGGAGCTCTCCAAAGGGCCCTTCCTCTGACGGGGGGAGTCTGGGGGATCGATGGATCGGGAGGTGGTGAGACTAAGGATTGGAGACTGAGGAGGTGTGCGTGGTGTGTAGGTGTGCTTCATGGCAACGAAGCTGAAGTTGCAGGTGGTATCTTTGGAACGTTCCTGCTTCCCTGTCATAGCTCCCCGCGCTCTGAACTCTTCGCCCTGCTGGTGTTGCTCATTTTCACGGAAGGACAGATGTGGGTGTTTTCAGATTGCTGTCTTTTCGTGCGGAGCTTTCGGACAGCTCCTGGGCATGGTGTGAGGATTAAGAGTAGCATGCTGGACCTTTGGGCTCGTGTTTGGGATCGTCTCGGGACTCGTTCGGGCCAGGTTGATCTCCGTTGGATGAAATCCCCCCTCCCAGGCACAAGTCGATGATATGCAAATTCCGAGAGTGGAGCTCATTACAAACAACGCAGCTGACCTGCGTGCTGGTGAAGGCCCCCGTAGGGGCCAGTTGGGAGTCCAGGAAATCCTTTCTGTCCGTGACGCGGACGCCCTCCAGGGGAAGATTGTGTTGCGCCTCCTTGCTATTCAGCGCGACGTGTTCTTCACCTGCTCCCGAGAGGCCCCTTCCCCCAAAGGTCTCGCAGTTGCCCGCAAGAGGTCGGGCATCACCAGTGCTGAAGCGAGAGAGAGAGAGAGAGACGGCTGCTGGCTGCTGGTCGCTTTTCTGGCCTGAGACTTGCGCCCCCTTGTCGGAGTTCGGACAGGTCTCAGGGGAGTGGACTTCCCAGGCGGAAAGGGAGAACGCCGAGCCGCCCCCACTGGTGGTGGCGGACCTGCAGGCGCGCCGCCCACCCTCCGACCAGCTACATGTCAGGGCGTGTTGTTCTGTCAAGTGTGCGGGGCGTCTGGTGTTGATCAGGCCCGCAAACTGTTGTGTGGATGCGGGCCTCCATCTGCGAAGGGGCGGGAGGCCTTCTCTCGGTTGCCTCGAGGGCTCCCGCCTAAGTCAGGCATGCGTTTCCCCGTTCGGGGGTGAGTGCTCTGCGCACCCAGGCTCGCTTTTGGTCGCCGCATTCAGCGCAATCGCAGTCACAGTCGCAATCGCAATCTCCTCCCCCTCCTCCTCCCCCTCCACCTCCTCCTGCTCCTCCTCCTCCTCCTCCTCCTCCTCCTCCTCCTCCTCCTCCTCCTCCTCCTCCTCCTCCTCCCCCTCCTCCTCCTCCCCCTCCTCCTCGGGTCGCCCACGGCCCCTGGGGAAACGGCGCAGGTCCGGAAGGGGATTCGCTCTCTGCCTCTGTCTCTCGGGTCCGCTCCAGAAGCTTTGCAACCACAGACGTTTGCATGCTTCTTTTGCAGAGCCGACTTTGATTCCAGCGGCTCGCGCCCTTTCGCCCAACCCCATGAAGAGGGGCGTTCTGCGCGCTCGTGGTCCCCGCGCGGCCCCAAAAAAACGCGCACCAGAGGTCACTATTTCACAGGGTCTCTCTTGCGCGTAGTCGACAGGTGGCAAGGTGAAGCAGAGGAGTTTGTCGACGGTGTCCAGAGGAGAGCGAAGCTGTCGAGGAGGAGAAGGGGAGGAGAAGGGGGGGAGAGCAGGAGGTGCTGGAGGAGGTGGACGTGGAGGTGGAGGAAGTGTGCTGAAGAGGTGGATACGGAGGACGCATGGGGGACGGAAGGAGAAAATGAGGGAGGATGTGCGGGAGGGGAGAAACATGATGATGGGGGAGGAGGGACGAGGGAAAGCGGAAAAGCAGCTGATCTGTTGTTGCTGGGGAGGAGGGGGGGAGAGGAGCGAGGGGGAAGGACAGGGCAGCGGGAGGAGAGGATACGGTCGTGAATTGTTGGATAGCGTGTCACCGCGCTGCCAGTTCTAGCCCTTCGCGTTTCGGCGCGACACGCTATTCCCCCCGGGCGTCAACGTCCCGAGCCTCCTGAGCCTCCCGCCCCGCGGAGCGGAGCGACGCGCCATCCGCTCGCGAGGCATGGCGCGTCTCTGGGGCCGCCGCGGCGGCACGCTATCCTAACGTGCCCGACCGTAGCGGAGCAGGAGGAGAGGGTACGCAGGAGGACGGGCCTTGCGAGGCAAGGAGAGCCTGCCTGGCCTGGATTGGCTTGGTCTCCGAGCTCGGAGGAGGGAGGGGTCAGGGTAAGGGAGCGGGAGGAGAGGGCACAATCGAGTTTGCTTCGTAGGTCGGCCCTGCCGAGTTGAGGGTACGCCTGTGCCCTGTGTGTTCGCGACCCATGCTCTCTACATTCCTGTGGCAGGGTGGCCCTCGGAAGGGACCCGTGTCCTCTCGCATGTCCTCTCCAATCGAGCTCGAATGTAAGGGAGCAGGAGGAGAGGATACGCAGGAGGAGGAAGCCCACTGAGGCTAGGAAAACCTGCCCGCCCTGGTCTCCAAGTTCGGAGGAGGGAGGGGACAAAACGACGATTACGACAAGGAAGAGGAGGAGGACGAGGAGGACGAGGACGAGAAGGAGGAGAAGGAAGACGAGGCTTGCGGGCTGAAAAGGCAGCGGCGATCGTGCCTAGCGAGCGGGTGGCCCATCTGTGGACGTCGGGGATGCTGCCACAGCAGTGCGGCAGGGAAGGAGGACGACGAGGAGGAGAAAAAGGGGGACGACGACAAGAAGGAGGCCGAGGAGGATCACGAGGAGGACGACGAGGAGGACGACGAGGAGGACAACGACGAGGACGACGACGAGGGCGACGAGGAGGACGAGGAGAACGACGACGACGCGGAGGAAGAGGAGGAGGAGGCGTAGGAGGAGGACGACGACGAGCAGGACGAGGGAGCGAGGGGAGAGGCTACTCGGGAGGAGGGTGCGCAGGAGGGCGGGGCCCCGAGAGGCGAGGAGCGCCTGCCCAGCCTGGTCTCGGAGCTCCTCGGCAGGGCGCTGGGCACGGCGGAGGCGCCGCGCGTCGCCGCCGCCAGCGTGCGGGTCCGGGCGGTCGAGACGCGCAGGTCGAGCGACGAGAAAGCGGCATCAACATCCCAGGGTCCTCCTTCTCTTCCTCCTCCTCCTCCTCCGCCTCCTCCTCCTCCTCCTCCTCCTCTTCCTCCTCCTCCTACTCCTCCTACGCCTCCTCCTCCTCCTCCTCCTCCTCCTCCTCCTCTTCCATTCCTTTTCCTTATAGAGAACTCCTCCCTGTCGCACCCTGAGGCGGTCGAAAGAGCGGGCCGGGCGTTTCGCTGGGGATGTCCTCACCATTTAGGATCCTGAAGCTTAAGCCGTGGCATGAGTTTCACGGATTGAGGGCGGGCCGTCTTCACCATGTGGCTCTCGCCTAAGGCCGTGCACATTCGTATTTTAATGCAAGAGCTTCACGGGTTGAGGGCGGGTCGTTTTCAAAATGTGGTTCTCGCCTTCGCGCCGCGCACACTCGTCTTAAACATCTGCAAGAGTTTCACGGATTGAGGACGGGTCGTTTTCAACATGTTGCTCTCGCCCCAACGCCGCGCACATTCGTTTTTAATATTGTGCAAGCGCTTCTTGGATTGAGGGCGGGTCGTTTTCAAAATGTGGTTCCCGCTTTCGCGCAGCCCCTATTCGTCTGATTCGTCTTAAGCATTTGCAAGAGTTGCCCAGATTGATGGCGGTTCGTTTTTTTAATGTGGTTATCGCTCTAGCGCCGCGCACATTCGTTTTAATAGTTTATAAGAGTTTGACGCATTGAGGGCGGGCCGTTGTCAACATGTGGTTATTGCTATAGCGCCGTGGTCATTCGTTTTTAACAGATACGTGAACTTCACGGATTGAGGGCGGGTCGTTTTCAAAATGTGGTTCTCGCCTTCGCGCCGCGCACACTCGTTTCAAAAGCACGGATTGATGGCGGCTCGTTGTTAGAATGTGGTTCTCGCCCAAGCGCCTTGCTCATTCGTTTCGAAACATTTGCAAGAATTTCACGGATTGTGGCGGGCCGTTTTAAATTTGTGGTTCTGCTTTTAGCGCCGCGCACATTCGTTTGAACAGTTTGCAAGGGTTTCACGGATTGAGGGCGGTTCTTTTTCAAGCTCTGGCTCTCGCCTTAGCGCCGCGTTCCACGATTCCCATGGTTACGTTACCAGAAGCGGTGTTTTGAAACGAGCCAGGATTGTCAGGGCGCAGCAGTTACGTTGGCTCGCGGTGTTGAGGTCCCATGATTGTTGTTCTGGCACAGTTTAGGATTGCCAAGACGTAACAGTCAGGCGAAGTCGTGGCGTTGAAGTCCTGAGAGTGGTATTTTGGCACGCTTCAGGATTTTCACGCGATTGTCTCCACACGGGGCACTTGCCTCAGCGGAAACGAATTGTTGTAGGGGCCTATAAAGAGGGGGCTTGGAGGGAGGGTGTATTCCAACATCGTTGATAAGTCTTCGGTTTACAGCGGTCTTCCTCCTCCTCCTCCTCCTCCTCCTCCTCCCTCCTCCTTCTCCTCTTCTTCCTCCTCCTCCTTCTCCTCCTCTGCATCCTCCGCTTCCTCCTCCTCCGTCTCCTCCTCCTCCCTTTTCCCTCTCCTCCTCCACCTCTCGGTCCCTCGCCCCTCCTCCCCTTCCTCCCCCGGCTCCCTCCCACCCCTTCGCCCCCCCTCGGAGGTCCGCGCGGGTTTCTTGGATCGGCTCCGGGCCCCACTGGCGGCGCATCCGGCGCTGCGCGCTCCGCGCGCCAGGGAGGGAGTTCCAGCGCCGATCCCAGACGCCCGCGCGGACCATCGAAAGCTCATGTTAATGTTAAAAAGGGCCTGTCCGTCCACAGGAGGAATCTTCAAAAATAGTCCCAAAATGGTATGGGGACGATGTTTTGAGCATTTTGGGACGACTTCTGATTATTTTTGGCGTATCTTTCATCTTTCGTCCAAAATCGGCCTGTAGGGGGACATGCCCGACCTAGTGTTAATGCCGTTTTTTCTTCCTCTTGGAGGGGGCCTTCGCCAGAGGCGGTGACCCACGCCGGCGTGGTGGGCCGCGTGAGCCTCTTCTCGCCGTGCCAGGAGACTGCCCTTTCATTTACGGGGAATCTGGAGGCATGTCCAGGCCCGTTGGTGTTCCATGCTCGGGGCTTCCGGCTGTGCGCGGGCCCACGCGGACGCGGTTCTGCCTGGACCAGTCTGTCCGTTGTGATTCTTGCCCGTAGAATCCGGCAGTAGTCGGGTATAGCCAGGACCCCTGGGTGAGCGGAGCTGGTTCGTGGTGGGGCTCCGAAGCCCCAAACATGAACCAGCACAATATCGAGCCAAGGTTACGGTGGGGGGCATGGGAAAAGGAACCCTTAGATGAGAAATCCAGGGTCTGGAGGCCGGTGGGACTCCAATCGAGGCTTGGCCATGGATATCACCGCCGCCTTCGTCAGATAAGGAATCCTCCAGGGTCTGCAGCCTCCTGGGCGCATTCCTTAGCCAACGCCCCCACCGTAATTATCGTAAGTCGCGTTTCTTCGGGCGACGGCGGTTCGGACTAGTGGAGTGGGGCGCGGGGCCGTCCCATCGCTGCACATCACTACGCCATGTGCCATGTCCTACGGAACCCAGTCCTGCAAGCGCCCGGAAAAGCTGGGAGAGGCCCGCGTTCTCCTTGATTCCCCCCCCGCCAGCGCCCGGAAGGATCCCAGGTTCTCGGGTCTGCCTGCCCTCCCGACCCGAGAACGGACAGCCTGACCCTGTCGGCTGCGCAGGTCCGTACGGGGTATGCAGTGCCGGTGGGCGCGGGCTTGCGTGGGGCTGCCCAAAGTGAGAAGGTTACGGTATAGGTTCGTGCCGTGTCGACCAGCGGCGACCCCGCCGCTGGCGTTCACTGTTGAGCGCCGCCGTGGGCCCGGAGTCGGTGGATGTTGAACGATCTGACGTTTCGGAAACGGCCGATCGTTCAAGGTTGAACGATCCACGCGGTGCCAGATACCAACGCTGGGGTCGTCACGACACGAACCTGCCGTACGCAGTACGGGTGCGCGCGGGCATGCGTGGGGCTGCCCAGAGCGAAAAAGTAGGGTTATCAGCTGGCACCTCCCCCCCACACCAGACGACCCGTGTCATCGCCGAATTCTTGTTTTTTACGAAAGGCTTACCGCCGCAAGAATCGGCCGAGGAGGAGGAGGAGGAGGTGGAGGGGAGGAGGTGGAGGAGGCAGGAGGAGGAGGAGGAGGAGGAGGAAGGAGGAAGGAGGTGTGCGCGGAGGAGGAGGGGAGGAGGAGGAGGAGGAGGAGGAGGAGGAGGAGGAGGAGGAGGAGGAGGAGGATGAGGAAGGAGAGGCGGAGGAGGAGGAGGAGGAGAGGAGGAGAGGAGGAGGGGAGGAGGAGGAGGAGGAGGAGGAGGAGGAGGAGGAGGAGGAGTAGGGAGGAGGATGGAGAGGAGGAGGAGGAGGAGGAGGAGGAGGAGGAGGAGGAGGAGGAGGAGGAGGAGGAGGAGGAGGAGGGGAGGAGGAGGAGGAGGGAGGGAGGGAGGGAGGGCGGGAGGAGGAGGAGGGAGGGAGGAGGAGGGGGGAGGATGGAGGAGGAGGAGGAGGAGGAGAGGAGGGAGGAGGAGGAGGAAGAGGAGGGAGGAGGGGAGGGAGGAGGGAGGAGGGAGGAGGAGGAGGAGGAGGAGGAGGGAGGAGGAAGGAGGGGAGGAGGAGGTGGAGGAGGAGGAGGAGGAGGAGGAGGAAGGAGGAGAGGAGGAGGAGGAGGAGGAGGAGGAGGGGAGGAGAGGAGGAAAGGAGGAGGAGGAGGAGGAGGGAGGAGGAGGAAGTCATCGCCGGACGATGCAAGACGATCTCCAGCGGTCCGCGTACGGCCGCCGCGACGTGGAGGACAGTCCGTGGGCCGCCGCGCTGAAGGCCAGGGACTCCGCGGACCACGGCTCCGAGGCCGCTGGGGCGCAGAGGCCAACGGCGCAGGATCGGCCATGCGTACTGACCTCCTCCTCCTCCTCCTCATCCTCATCTCCCCTCCTCCTTCTCTCCCTCCTCGTCCCTCCTCCCTCCTCCTCTCCCTCTCCCTCCTCCCCCTCCTCCTCCTCCTCCTCCTCCTCCCTCCTCCTCCTCCTCCTCCTCCTCCTCCTCGTTCAAACGGCCATTGAAGATTCAACTGTGCAAACGGCTTGCAGGTCCCAGTCTACTTTAGGCGCCTTTCCTGCTTCAAGAGTCGAGCGGTCGTTCCATCCTCGTCAGGGGGCGGGCGGGAACCCGATCTACTGCCAACGCCGTCCTACTTCATGTTCCTGCCCACTTCTTCCGACCGACGGGCACGCGCAAGATAGGGCGACGAGATGTATGCGCTTCCAAAGCCCCAGGCCTGGCCAATCCTTGGCCAGGGGCGGTGTACTAGTATGTGCCTCCCTCTCCAAGGGAGGAGGGCGTTTGCGCCGCCCCTGGGCTCAGGACGGGCCAGGCCTGGGGCAGTAGATATGTATAGACTCCGTCGCCCTGTAAGAGTGGCCATTCTCTGGAGTGACTTTTGGCGCGGGCCCACAGGGCACCTCGGGGACAACGATGGGGGGGGGATAGGCACAGGGGGGACGCGTCGGCCTCGAATGGTGGATACATCGACGATGCGTCGACGATGCATCTTTGATATCAGGGCGATGTATCGGCGATGAATAGACTATGCGTGGGGCGAGTCTGGGCCTCCCATGTGGGGTCCGAGCAGACGGGGTCGGAGTGTCGCGCCGCATCTGCGATGCATCGGCGATGCGGCTTGATGTGGAGCCAGAGTTTCTGGCGCCGATGTATTCCCGACGTCGCCGATGCATCGGAGATGCATCGGCGATTCGGCGCGATCCTCCGACCCAATCTGCTCGGACCCCTCGTCTAGGAGACCGCTACACAGGGCCCCCCCCCCCGGCACTGACCTGCGCGCTTGGATTCGGCCTTCCCGCGGCGAACGGAAGCCACGCACCAAAGGATACTCTTGCTTGGGGCCACTCTTGTGCGCAGCCGGGCAGGAGGACGTCCTGGTGGGGCTGGTCTTCCAGGCGGTGCAGGCCCGCTTTGGAAGCGGGGCGGCGGTCGGTGTGCAGAGGCGCCAGAAGCTCGCCGAGCCGCTGAGGGAGGCGCTGGCGGTGTTCAGGGCCAGCGATGCCGCCTCCAGGAAGCGGGGCTCCAGGGTGATTCCGTGGACCGTTTTTCGTTTTGATGTCGATTTGCAGCAAAGGCGTAGAGAAGACGCAGCGAGGGAAAAACATCAAAGCAACACGAAAACGGCAAACGGCAAATAGCACTGTTCAGCTCGAGCCCCGCAAGGAGGCACGTGGACTACCACTACCAGCAGCTATGCAGCGCGCCTTCGCAGCGGCTTTACCAGGAGCGTGTTTCTTCATTGCTTGGGACATAATGGGCATTATAGCCCCCGGCCCCCCTCCCCCCCCAATACGTAACGCCCCTCCCCCCCAGTGTGTTCAGACACTGCCGCCGTGCGCACGGCGGGGGGAGGCGTCATATTATACCCCCCCCACCTGGCCCTTCCCCCGCCCCCTATAATGCCCGTTAGCGCCGAGAATGCAGAAAGGCGCTCCAGGAGCGCCTCCACACCGACGACGAGATCTTCGAGCTGTGCGTGGCGCCCGACCCCGTCCGGCAGGTGGAGAGCGACCTCGAGCGCCTGCTGCCGGCCGCGGAGCTCGCCCAGCAGATGCTGCTCGACGCCCTGCTCGGCGGCGAGCCTCCCGACGGGCACGCGGAGTGGCCCACCTCGGGGAACAGACAGCAGCATAAGCTTAAGTCGGGCGTGCCCCTCTACAGGAGGAGTATTCAAAAGTAGTTTTGAAAATTGTCCGTGGACGATTTGTCTTGAAATTATGTTTGAGCATCGTTTGAATATTTTTGACTAGTTGTTTCATTTTCCAGAATGCCCCCGTAGGGGGACAGGCCCGACCCAACATAAACATGATTCCGCAGAGGCCCGCCCAGGTCTCTTGCCTCGGCGCCTGGGCCCCCGCCGGGCGGCGCCTCCTGCGCCGCGCCTGGCGCGGGCCAGGCGCCCGGGGCGGGGGGCCCAGGCGCCGATCCACGGAAATCCGCGCGGACCTCCAGAACAGTTTCTGCTCACGCCTACGCTGAGGCTTACGTCTCAGATGTTTGATTCTACACCAGAGGCGCGATGACATGATACCATCGTCCCTCGCGTCGCAAAGTTTGTGCTTATGCCTTTTCTTGTTCCCCGACCATCGGGATGATCAGCCAGAAGCCGGCCGCCGCGCCGCTGGCGCTGGGCGTGTACAACCCGGGCGCCAAGGAGCGCGGGGCGGCGGAGAGGAAGCAGCTGGCGCGCTATGCCCCCGGGGAGGGGCGCGGCTGCTGCTGGAGCCTGCTCGACCTGGCGCGCGTGAGCCTCGTGTTCCCGAGCTACCGGGCGCTGCAGTCCAGCCTGGACGCCTTCCTCACGAGCGGCGAGTTCGACGTGGTCCTCGTCCGCAACTTCTTCCGCACGCCCTCCCGACTGGGCGCCCGCCACGTGGACGTCTACGTGGCGTTCCCCGTGCCCGGCGAGGGCGGCAGCGACCCCACGCTGCACATTTGCGAGGTCCGCTTCGAGGAGCAGTCGTGGATGAAGGCCCGGCTCGAGGGAGCTGCCCCGCACGTCGACAGCTTCTTCGACGCGTTCCGGCGCACCCTCGTCACCCTGCCCGGGGTGGCGGACCTGGAGCTCGCGAGCCACCTCGCCCAGGACGTGCTCACGTCGCAGCCGGAGACCGGCATGCTGAAGCACTTCCGACGCAGCCTGGCCCGCCAGCAGCTGGGGTCCAGCGTCGCCATCTGGCGGGACGTCGTCCCCGGGCGCCGCCTCGACTTCCCCGCCTTCAGGGACATCTCGAAGAAGCGAAAACGGCACAGACCTGACTGAGCTTTCGGAGGTCCGCGCGGATTTCTTGGGTCGGCGCTGGGCCCGCCCGTCGGCGCCTCCGGCGCCGCTCCCGGCGCGCCCCTCTCGCGCCAGGGAGGGGGGGCCCGGGCGCCGACCCCAGGACTCCCCCCGCGGGCCTCCGAAAGGACGCGTCTGCGCCGGCCTCGCTTCTTGCAGCATCTGCCGGGCGCTCGGCGAGAAGAAGGAGCACATGACCGCCCTGTGGACCGAGATGGACCCCGGCTTCGCAGGGTGCGTCTCTTTGTTCGACTTCGACGCCGAGGCCGCCGCATCCCTGAAGAGGTTCCGGGACCGCGTGCTCACCCTCGGTGGCGGCGAGGAGGAGCCCGGCGCGCCGGCCGCGCCGACTGGCGCGAGGGACAGGCTGGACGCGGTCCTGCGCGGGATCCACGCCCTGGTCCAGCCGCGCGCCCGGGGCCAGCTCGGCCGCTTCGAGTTCCAGCGGCTGGCGCAGAGCCTGGGCATCCTGGCCCCCGAGGCGGCGCGCATCCTGGCCTGCCTGGACAGGTGCAGGATGCCGAGGAGCAGAACGCGGCACGAGCACTGCGGCCGGCTTGGTTTGGCGTGCCGCTCCGCCGGTTCTGGCCCACCACGCTTCGGCGCGACGCGCCATCCGTGCTCCCATCCCCGAGGCCCGAGCCCCTCCCAGCCCCCCGCCCCCCCCGGAGCGGAGCGACATGCTGGCAGCTCGCAGGGCACACAGCGCATCGCCGGGGCCGCCGCCGCGGCGCGCTTCAGCGCACGCTCCCGACCGTAAGCTTGCTGGGGGCTCCGCGCGGCTTTCCCGCACCGGCGCTGGAGCGCGCCAGGGGGCGGCACCCGCGGCGCTGCCCGGGGGGCTCCGGCGCCGGGCCGAGAAGTCCGCGCGGGCCCCCGGGCCGCTCGTGGTCCTGCAGTTGTCCTTCCGCCCCTGCAGGATGGACCAGCGCGGGCAGGGGCAGGCGGGCGGCGGGCCCGGAAGCGGGCCCCGCCTGCGCGGGCACTGGCGCGGGGGGCTGCCCCGCGCGGGGTCTCTCGCGTGGGCGCCCTCGCCGCCCTGCTCCGAGCGGTGCGCCACGCGGGCGGCCCGCGCAGCCGCGGGGCCTGAGGTCACGATGCCATCCTGCGCCAGTATCGCTTGACCGACCCCCATCCCCATCCTCATCCCCTTCGGGACCCCCACCAAACTACCACCCCACTTGGGCATGCACCCCTCGAAACCCGAAGGGAACGGCCTGTATCCCCATCTAGGGGGGTAAATCGGCCAGCGTGGGCCCAGCCCACGCTGGTGGGGACGGGGATTGGTTAGACGATTCCATCGTGGGCAAGATCCGCTTACCTTCGTCGCGCTACACTGGAGGCGAGCGAGCTTGTGCGGGACCCTGCGCGGGCAGCTTGCGCGCGAATGCCCGCGCAGTCCAGGCCTCGGAAGAATTTAGCGAGCACTCATGCCAGATTCATCTGCCAATGCCTTCCCCCAATGATCAATGTTGGCGTTGTGATGTTACAACCTATTTTAACCTTGATCATCATAACGAGTTTCGAGCACCAGGGAAATACAGAAATCGGAGGGTTTTCACGTGTCGGGCCCTGGGAGGCGATACTCGTTCGACACTGTTTCGATACTTTTCAGGGTGCTCGAAGTTGTTTCTGGGATGTGGTCCTGAAGTACGGTGGGAGCAGCAAAATGTTGGCGGTGCGTTGGATGAGTTGCACTTCGGCCGCAGTCTTCCCCGCGCGTGTCAGCTTCGAGAGTGTTGGGGGGCGGGAGAGTACCCACTCCATTGTTTCCCTCTGCCGCCGAACCCGTTTTCTGCTTTCAGGCGATCGCAAACATGGATCAAGGGGGCGTGGATTAGCGACGGGTCCCGTTTCCATGGGAAATCGCGGATTTCCGCCGCCGAGCGAGGCGGCACCGGCCGCTTTTTGGGGAGGTCACCTCCCCGGATCCATGGATCTGGCGACCGCGCGCCAAATCCATGGATCGTTCATCCATGTTTGCGCGCCCCCGATCTTAGAAGGTACGTGCCTTCCCTGTAGATGTGAGGCCCGCGCCTCCGATGGCCCACTCGTCGCCGATCGGGGCCCAGGAGCGTGCGGTCTCACGATCGGGTGGCCTCTGGCCGATCTGTGGGCGGACCCAATCCCAGTGTTCCCGAGGAGGGGGAGGAGGAGGAGGAGGAGGAGGAGGAGGAGGAGGAGGAGGAGGAGGAGGAGGAGGGGAGGAGGAGGAGGAGGAGGAGGAGGAGGGGAGAGGAGGAGGAAGTGTGAGGAGGAGGAGGAGGAGGAGGAGGAGGAGGAGGAGGAGGCGGAGGAGGAGGAGGAGGAGGAGGAGGAGGAGGAGAGGAGGAGGAGGAGGAGGAGGAGGAGGAGGAGGAGGAGGAGGAGGAGGAGTGAGGAGGGAGGAGGAGGAGGAGGAGGAGGAGGAGGAGGAGAGGAGGAGGAGGAGGAGGAGGAGGAGGAGGAGGAGGAGGAGGAGGAGGAGGAGGAGGAGCGGGGAGGAGGAGGAGGAGGACGGAGGAGGAGGAGGAGGAGGCAGGGAGGAGGAGGAGGAGGAGGAGGAGGAGAGAGGAGGAGGAGGAGAGGAGGAGGAGGAGGAGGAGGAAGGAGGGAGGAGGAGGAGGAGGAGGAGGAGGAGGAGGAGGAGGAGGAGTGGAGGAGGGAGGAGGAGGAGGAGGAGGAGGAGGAGGAAGGAGGAGGAGGAGGAGGAGGAGGAGGAGGAGGAGGAGGGAGGAGGAGGGAGGAGGAGGAGGCTTCGCTCGCCAGGTGTTCGTCAGGGACGCCGACATCGGCTGGCTGCTCTCCCTGGACCGACTCGTGGACCTCGGCGCCGCGTGCCTGGAGGACCACCGGCGGCCGGCCGGGGAGGCCTCCGGCCCGTGGGACGCCAGCGACAGCCCCCAGCAGCAGGGGTGGAACTTCTCGGAGCTCGGGTCAGCCACGCGCAGAAGGGGGGTGGGGGCAGGGGGGAGGGCTTCTTAGAGGCACCCCTGCTTCTTAGAGGGCGCGGGCCTCATCTGTAGACGTGAGGCCGGGGCCTTCTGAGAAGCAGCCTCTTTCTAAGAAGCCCTCCCCCCTCCCTCCACCCCCGTGTGCGCGCCGCCAATCGGGGGAGGACAAGACTTCAGTCGGGCCTGTCCCTCTACGGGAGGAATGTAAAAAGAAATCGCCAGAAATACACTGGTGACGATGCTTCGGGTATTTGTTGCTATTTTGGGGCATTTTTGACATACTTTTAATTTTTCGTCCAAAATCGGCCTGTAGGGGGACACGCCCGACCTAAGACAAGGCATCCGAGGCGGGGATTCATCCATATGACCACCGCCTGGGGGATCGATCCTCGCGGACCTCCACAGGCGGTGGATGTGGATAGATTATAGGCTCCCAGGGGCCTATAAATATATCTATATACACACATGTATATATATATATATATGATTCTTTAAAAGAAATAGTGAAAAATAGTCTGGGGACGATTTTTTTAAATGTTCGTGTTGACTATTTTGGGGTATGTTTTGAATATTTTCATTTTTCGCCCAAAATCCGCCTGTAGGGGGACAGGCCCGACCTAAGGGAAGGGTCAGGGACTTCGGAGACCTCGCTTTGAAAAATCAAGACAGCGGGTGCCCAGGTACCGATGCCGATGCCCCCCCTTCGCCGCCACGGCGGGGTCCGCCGCGGAGCCCTGGCCAGAGCGCGTCCCGGGAGAGGTCTGGGGAGCAGCGGCATCGACATCTTCCCTGGCACTCGCCGATCTGATTATTGTTCCATCCTTGGTCCCAGGAGTCCCGACCGCTTTCCTCGGAGCGTCGTGTTTCGTCGTGGTCAACGTCATCGTCGTCGTCGTCGTCGTCGTCGTCGTCGTCGTCGTCGTCGTCGTCGTCACTGTAGTCATCGTCGCCGTCGTGGTCGTCGTCGCCGTCGTCGTCGCCGTCGGTAACGTCGTTCACGTCGTCGTTGTCGTCGTCGTCGTCGCTCGAGGAAAAGCGCTCGGATTCCCCCCCCCCTTCAACAAAAAAAGCGCGTCCTCGGAGAGCATGGCCTCCGCTGCCGCAGGAGGAGGTCGTCGACCCGAGCGCCCTCGCGCGGCGCGCCTCGCAGGGCAGCGAGGGGGACTCGGAGCCCATGGAGCCCGAGGTCGAAGAAGAGAAAACGCCATACAGTCCAGGGGCGGCCAAGAGGGGCTGATGACCAGGGGGGGGGGGGGATATCATGGCGGGGGCCATGATATCTCCCCAGATTTCATGGCGCCTCTTCTTATTTCGATGCGTTCCCTGGCCCCCCCTGGTCCGAGCACGTGCCGCTGGCCATGATTTGCACCCCCCCTCTTGGACGCCCCCCTCTTGGCCGCCCCCGAACAGTGGAAACCCATGCCAAGAAACGCCCCGCTTGCGTCCAGGGTGCCCTTGGTTTCCTGGGTTTCGATGCTCTTGCGATGGAAAGCGTGACGTTCCCACACCAAAAATCATAAGAATCATCATCATCATCATCAGCATCATCACCACCACCATCATCACCATCATCATCTTCTTCATCATCATCATCATCATTATCATCATGATCATGATCATGATCATCACCATCATCATCAAACACCATCCAGTGGAAACCCATACCAAGCAACGCCCTGCTTGCGTCCAGGGTGCCCTTGGTTTCCTGGGGTTCGATGCTCTTACGATGGAGAGCGTGACGCTCCCACACCAAAAACAATAACAATCATCATCATTATCATCATCATCATCATCATCATCATCAGCATCAGCATCAGCATCAGCATCATCATCAAACGCCATACAGTGGAAGCCCATGCCAATAAGTGCCCTGCTTGCGTCCAGGGTGCCCTCGGTTTCCTGGGTCTCGATGCTTTTTTGTTGCGATAGGGAGCGCGACGCTCCCACTTCAGCAATCGGTGGACGTCCTGGGGCCTCGGGGTTGGGTCTCTTGTGGAAGGTTCTTTGTTCAGGAGGGGAAAAAACAGACAGACACAATGAATCGTCGACTCCCCAGACAATATGGGAAAATATGGGAAGTGGGGGGGAAGACAAAAAAACAGAAAATATGGTAAAATATGGGGAATCCTTTTATTTGTGTGTACGTATTTATTTGTGCGTCCCAGGGCCCCTTCATTTGTGGGCTGGCTTCCACTGTAAACCTGAGCTTTGGGCGCTCCGCGCGGATTTCTTGGATCTGCGCTGGGCCCCGCCTGGGGGCGCCTCCTGCGCCGCCCTTGGCGCGCGGAGCGCCAGGGAGGGGGGTCCGGCGCAGATTCGAGGAATCCGCACGGAGCGCCAAAAGTTTGTGCTTACGGTTGAAAGAAAAAGTTTGCACCACCTGGGCGGCACGACAATTGATGATACGACCTCCCCCCCCGCCCCCGACTTTAACATTGAGACGGACGCGCACACTGAAATAGAATGTATCTTGATTTTCTCGAAGGGCCCCAGGAGATGTCACGACTATCAATATTAATAAAAAGTCGGGGGCGGGAGGGAGCATCAGTGCCATCCGATTTGCAGCTCAAGCCGAATTTATCGCTTCGCTCATTCCGCCGGCCCTGGAGCGCTATTTGGGGCCTCTTGGGGCCGTCTTGGGGGCTTCTTGGGGGCTTTTTGGGAGCGTCTTGGGGCTCCTTGGCGGCGTATTGGGTCCCCCTGGGGCCTCTTGGGGGGCTCTTGTGGGCCCCTTGGGGCAGGAGGGGGGGTAGTCGATTGCAGCCCCCCCCTCGGAGGCCACGATCCTCGTGAGGGGTGGCGAAAAATAGCCTCCCCCCTGGGGATCGCCCGGGACCCAGCCGGGGATCGGCCGGGGTATTTTTCGTCCGGGGCCCCTCAGGGGCCGCCCCGCGCGCGCGAACTAGAAATATTGTTAAGTAGTTACTGGAAATCTTCGCACGCCTCCGGCCCGTTGGGCCGGCGAATTGGTGCAAACATTTTTCTTTCAACCGTTGTGGCGTGTTCTTCTTCCTCCACGAGGGCGAGGAGACCCCGGGCCTGCAGGGCGAGCCGCCCTCGAGGCGGGCGAGCGCGGCGCCCTGAGGCCGCGGCGCGGGCCGCCGCGCTCGAGCGGGGGAGAGCGGCGAGCGGCGCGGGCTCCCGAGCGGCGCGCGCTCCCCGAGCGCGTCACTAGCCTGACTCCAGATCCGCCCTACTTTGGCTTTTTTCCCAATTTAAAGTTGCGTCGGAAATCCACCTATAAGAAGCCGAAAAAGTAGGGCGGAAATTTCTGCACCCAACATAAAATAGAGCGAAAATCCACAGAAGTAGGGCGGAAACAACAACAGAAAAGTAGGGCGGAAACTGGCATCAGCGGGGCTTGAAAAGTAGGGCGGAAATTCCAAGCCCTACTTACGAACTTCCCCCAAGTAGGGCGGATCCGGAGTCAGGGTAGGGGAACAAAAAATTGCATAAACATAAAAACTCGGAGGTCCGCGCGGATTTCTCGGATCGGCGCTGGGGCCCCCCTCCCAGGCGCGCGGAGCGCGCCAGGGGCGATGCTGGAGGCGCCGCCGGGGGGCCCCAGCGCCGATTCGAGAAATCCGCGCGGACCTCCGAGTGTTTATGTTTATGCCACTTTTTCTTCCCCTATTCACGGGCGAGCAGCTGCGAGCAGTAAGTCGGGCATGCCCCTTGGCAGGAGGAGTACGCAAGAATAGTCAAAACATAATGTGGGCGCGATTGTTCGTGCTCTTGTTTGATTATGTTTGGAGTATTGTGTTGACTATCTTTTATTTGTCTTCGAACATCCGCCTGTAGGAGGACATGCCCGACCTCATGCGAGCAGCGGGGGCTAGTGAGAGGGGGCAGGCTTTCTCTCCAGGCCTCCTAGATGGGGTCCGAGCAGATGGGGTGGGAGGATCGCGCCGCATCGTCGATGCATTGGCGATGCGGCTCGATGTGGAGCCCGATTCTCTCCACGCTGGCGTCGCCGATGCACCGCCGACGTCGCCGATGCATCGCTGATGCATCGGTGATGCATCGCCGATGCATTGGCGATGCGGCGAGATCCTCCGACCCCGTCTAAGTACCCGGACCCCTATCTAGGAGACTTCTTCCTTCTCAGAAGGCGGCGGGGCCGCCAAGGCCTCCAGAGAAGGTACGGAGCACCTGTCGGGAGGCCAGAGCCCGACGTGTTGGAGCCTTCCTGGGGAGGCTCGCCCCCTCTCTGCACTGTTCCCCTGCGCCAGATCGCCGCCAGCCACGACCGGGGGGAGGAGACCTCGACGCCGCTGCTCCCCCTCTCCCCCTACCCCTCCTCCGCATTCTCCTCCTCCTCCCCCTCCTCCACCTTCTTCTTCTCCTCCTCCTCCCCCTCCCTCCTCCTCCTCCTCCTCGTCATCCTCCTCCTCCTCCTCCTACTCCTCCTCCTCCCCTCCTCCTCCCCCTCCTCCTCCCCTTCTCCTCCTCATCCTCCCTCCTCCTCCTCCTCCTCCTCCTCCCTCCTCCTCTCCTCCTCCTCCTCCTCTCCTTCCTCCTCCTCCCCCTGCTCCTCCTCCTCCTCCTCTTCCTCCTCCTCCTCCTCCTCCTCCTCCTCCTCTGGCGACGTAGTTTTTCGGCCGGCGGGTCCCTCGAGGGAAGCGGTCGGGCTCCTGGGGCGGCGGCTTGGAAAGACCAGATCTGCGGACCCAGAGATCCAACGTCTTGAAAAAATCAAGACAGGTTTTTCTCCGATTTCGACCTCTAGAGGCCCTCGCCAGGCCCTGGGACCGTCAAAAAACGATTCGGGATGAAAAACCGCTCCTGGAGAATGGGTGGAGACTTCGGGGGACTGCGTGTTGGAAAAGTCGCGACGTCGGATCTCTGGGGATGTCAGGGCTCCTCTTGGAGAGCCCTCGTCGCCACGGCCGCATTCTCCGCGAAGCCAATGCTTCTGGTCAGAGCACGCCCTGGGAGAGGTCCGGGAAGTGGCGGCAGCGATGCCTCCTTGCCCCCCAGCGGTTCTCTTTGTACAAGCGGACGCTCCGCCCTCCCCGGCCCCTCGGGAGCGGAGGGCCCCCGGCAGCCAGGGGCGCCCCGCTTCGGGGGGGGAGGAGGGAATGGCTCCTCTGCATTTGTTGTGCGGGCGGTTGATGATTGGACGGACGAGGGCGGAGGAGCGCGGAGCGCGGCTTATGGTGACGATGCTGAGGATGATGTTGATGCTGCTGCTGCTGCTGCTGCTGCTGAGGAGGAGGAGGAGGAGGAGGAGGAGGAGGATGGGAAGGAGGAGGAGGATCAGGAGGATGATGATGGATGATGATGGATGATGATGAGGAGGATGATGAGGATGGGGAGGATGACGATGAGGATGATCATGAGGATGAGGATGAGGATGAGGATGATGATGTTGATGATGATGCTGCTGATGATGATGAGGGTGAGGGTGAGGATGAGGATGAGGACGATGATAATGGTCATGATGTTGATGCTGCTTATGATGATGAAGAGGATGAGGATGAGGATGGTGATGATGCTGGTGATGATGATGTTGATGATGCTGATGATGATGTTGATGATGATGATGATGATGATGATGATGATGATGATGATGATGATGATGATGATGATGATGATGTTGATGATGATGATGATGATGATGATGATGATGATGAATCATGAGGAGGAGGAGGAGGAGGAGGAGGAGGAGGAGGCGCAGCCCGTTGCGCCACCCAGAAGAGTCGAAGCTCGACTGGGTGGTCAGGATCACTTAAATGGGCAGCCGAGGCCAAAGGGAGCACGGCTACGCAAGAGGGACGGCCCTGCCTCGCCGCCGCCCAGCGGCACCTGAACTCCGCACAACACGCCGAAGCCGACATAGAAGTCGTATGCGGCGGGGGGAAGGGCGACGGGCGACGACGACAAAACAGGCAAGGCCAAAAAGCAAAAAACTCACCCCTGGGGCCCGCGGGCGCGACTATCTTGGCTGCCAGCAGCAGCAGGAACCTTCGCGCCCACGCCCGAGCCCGAGGAAGTCGAGGCGCCGTGATCACGGCGCTCGTCCTCGCAAAAGTTAATTTTCAGCCCCGTTCGGGGGTGGAGGCCACGCTCAGCTCTCCTAACAATGGCCCTCTGGTTAGCCAGCGTGGAACTTACGCTGCCGGGCCCCTTGCAGGCCAGGGAAAGGTTACGAAACGAACCAGCAGTGCCGTACGATCTGCATCTTCGCAGACAAACACTGGGCCAACTAAGAAAGGGTCGTGGCCAAGGTCCCTGAATGGGGCGAGCGGGTCCGAGGCAACGGGGTCGGAGGGGGGGACAGAAGGGGGATGGCCACCAGGGGGGCCCTCATCCTCCTGCGCCAGGACCTCGGCCAGCCCCACAGCAACACTCACGGCTTCACTTCGCATCACCGAAAAATATTGCCCATGCAGCCTGAACCACTCAGCCGTGGCAGCTGCTTGGACGGGTGTGGGTACGCACTCCCTGGTGGCACGATGGGTGAGCAGGGCCTTGAGGGATGTTTCGTTGCGGGCAACACGGCCACACATCTTGCACCTCCACTCGCCTCTGTTCTCACTCTTACACATAGTGTGATTGGTGATGTGGACCTTGGGAACGGCAGCATGGCTCGGGGCCAAAACAGGTTTAGCAGGCAGATCACCAGTCCTTTAAGTACTCTGAGCCATCTTCTGTGCGGCCAAGGCGATGAGTCTGATAGTAGATTTGTGGTATCTAAACTCCCCCTGCCAAGGCCTTAGCGAACCCCTCAGAGAAAAGGCGTGGGATGCCGAACCGGTTGTAGCGAACAAATCCGCCCAGAGATTCCCAACCCAACGGAAAACGCACAGCCTTTCTTCAGCCACAACATCGAATGAAAGGTGAGCAGGCTGCCCGCGAAAGTGTGGGGCTTTCTCGCGAATTCGAAATACATCCGCCCATATAGCAGCGTGCTTGGCAGCGCCGCTTGCAGAGTCCATGCTCCACTGGTTACCTTCACGCACTGTGGCTTGGAGGTCGGAAGTGATACGCGACAGCGTAGGATGAACAAAACACGCTTGCCTGTCAGCCCACCTCTCAGCTCGTCCGATCGTCTGAAACTGGCCAGGAAGCACACCGTACACGGCACGGCACGGCAGGAGCGAGGGCAGGACCTGGACCGCGGCCCATCTTGCACGCGAAACTTCAGGTATATTAGGCTGTAGGAAGCTGCCATCTACAAACGCATCAAGCCCTAAAATTCCTTTAACGTCCCCCCACTCGCCAACAACAGGATCAAGTTGGGGGACCTGAGTGTGCATGGTCTTGGGAAATGAAGGAAGCCCATATATCAAATACGTGGTGTCGACCTGCGTTTGCGCAGTGATGTCGAGGCTGGCCTGAAGAAGGGCCTGCCTGTGACTAATCATACTTCAAGCACGGGGTCTCTGAAAGGGCCCTGGTCTTCATCAATCACCTCTCTGCACTGGTACCAGATGTGACCATAAGGTCACTGTCCTGCAGGCATACTCGACAGCGAGGCTCTACTAAATACCCCTGGGCCGCGCGAGCGGCTGGGAGGGGAAAGACGTTTGCCCAGACCGCAAACAGCGCTCCAAGTTGCTTCGGGCACGCGACGCTGCGCAGCCCGTTCCTGAGAGCACGGTGCCAGATGACCTCACTGCCGTCGGACGTGGGCATGTGGCGCAGCAGCCTGCCGTGCTGCCACCGCTCGATGCCCCTGATGAGGTGGAGCGTGGCGTCATACGGGCACCACTGGAGCAGGCTGATGTGGGTGCCCTCGTCGTCCACGTAGGTGTGTGCGTTGGCCATGGTCCAGCCAATGCGTATGAGCGACAACCAAGTACAGGAAATGGGCCCTCTGGCGCTCTGCCATGTCGGGTTGGACTGCGTAATATGTGCGAGCTGAGCCCACGCGCGCTGGAGCTTTCCCAACGAAAACCGAGCATCCCATACCCAGGTCGCGTATCTGACCGTGATGCCGGGCGTGCATTTAAATATGGGAACGTATCTCGCGCCTGGGTTGGTGATGAGGTAGGCGGTGGCTCCACCGCGCGGTTTGCCCCCAGCAAGCACTGAGGCGAAATCGCGAAAATATCTGAGGGCCGTGTCCGACACCCCCTCCGCGCCAGCTCCATGGTCAGCCGCAGGTAAAGCACCTATCCTCCACAGCTTGGAGGTGCGACGGCCAGTGGCACACTTGAGGGCAATGTACTTCCTCTAGCGTTGCTGGAGGGCTTTGACTCTGGCCTTCTCTTGGCAGCGTCTGACTTTCATATCAGAAAGCTCGTGGCCTAGATTGCGCACCCAAGATCTGAACTGCAATGCCATGCGTTTGGCATTCTGGGCGAAAAGGATCCTGGAGCGCGCGGCGCCAGTGACGATGCAAGACTTCTTGGGCTGGGTGTGGAGCCCCAAACCTTCAAACGAATGTCGGCCTTGCCTTTAGTGGTGAGTTGGGTGGAAATGTCATCTACTAGTTCCCTTGACGCAACGCATGGGGCCACGATGGCATGCCGCTTCACAGCTCTGAGCGCGGGGAGGTGCAGTACCCCGGCAGCATGTGGGCATCCAGCGAGGATGCCTTGAAAAGCCTGCACCTCCCGAGACGCACATCTTAATGCTTTCAGCCTCCTAGGCTGCCTGTAAAGGTCGATGAACATCCAGGCCAACCTGGCAGGAAACTTCAGCTCCATCGCCTCTCGCAGCATCTGCGAGGGTATACTCATCTCGAAACACTTAATCATGGCTAGCAGCACCGTGACTGAAATCTCGCCCAGCAAGGCCGACACCTCAGCGCTTAATGTATGAGACAAGGCGCTGTCGGTCGAGGAGAGGCCTTTCTGGGTTCCCCAGGGTTCGCAAGACCAGCTTTCTTCTTGCCAGGCTGCAGTGAGGGGCTGTCGGATCTTACCTTAGAGCCTGCGCAAGGTTTGAATGAGAGCGATGAGCCGCGTGCCACCGTATGGTTCGGCCAGTCTAACGAGCTCGGTAGTAACGCGACTCCTTGGCCAAACCAGCAAGTGCTCACATGTATTGAACAGGCAAGCAATGCTAGCGTGGGCCTCACTCGAGAGGTGCCAGAGGGCTCTTGGGGCTATCTTCGAGGGGCCAGCAGCAGCCCTCGTGATAAATCTGAGAATGGCTTCCTTGACATGGCGCGGCTCGATGCAAGGCTGGGCGGGCCAGCGATGGGCACTTTCGGGGAGCGCCAGAGGGGGGCAGTCATGTGTCAGCCACAGGTTAGCCCACGGCTCTAGCTCCTGCGGCGCTAGGTCAGCAGGCTGCGCAGCTGCGCCGTACCTTATAACTTCCTGTACGGTACGCGCTTTAGTAAAACGGTTGGCTTGGGGCGATCCCTGGAGAAAGCTCTGCTTGGCCCACTTGAGCCAAGCGCGGTTCGCTTCGGTTTCGGCTGCCTGGATTCTGGCCTTGGCGGATGTGCACGCGTGCGCCAGCACTTGGGCCATGTCTTCCCGACTGGGCACTGCAATACTTGAACAAAGAAACCCGGCACCATGTGACGCCAACCGTGCGAGCACCCTGTTGGTTTTCGCGATTTTGCGCATGAAGCTGCTAAATTGGCAGAAGGACTGCAACAGCTTGTCATACTGTCTGGGAGAGAGGTCACACGTGGCAGCACCAGCTTGGAGCGACTGATCTCTCCATTCAAAAACTGCCTGACTTTAGCAGTGTGCTTGGCCCAACTCAGGGCGGTGGCCCACGCCTTAGTGGCGCCGTCTCGATAGGATCTGCGTTTGGGCGGGGTCCAGGCGAGTTTTTGCCACTTGGCCCGGGGGGCCCAGAGGTGCCAAAGTGCGCCTCGGAAACGGGCCCAACGTTGTCCCATCTGTGGGACAGCTCAAAGTGGATTCCCTCGGAGAGCGGGCCCCATGGACCAACTACCTCAGACTGGGTAGTCACCTTGGGGCCAGCAACCTCCAGCACGGCCTGCCAAGGAAACGCGGGTGGCCTGGCGCATCCAACGGGATGGGCCGCGGGAAGGGTCTCCTCTCGCTCGGAACTCTCGCCCAAATCTCCACGGGTCGCATTTCAATCGGGATGGAGACGGGGAGGTGAGGAAAGGCAGAGGCAGTCTCGTCCACCTGCAAGTGCCTGCCCAGCTTGGGCCCCGGGGAAATGCTGGCCACGGA